AAAAACATCTGCTTGCAAATCTAATTCATAAAAATACAATTTATCATCAGTCTTATTTTTCCAAGTATCAATTTCAACTTTCTCAACATTATCCCTAACTAACTGTTCATAGTTGTGGATGAGGTCTGATTTTTCAAACTGTTCTATTATATTACTTTGGATATCTAAATATTTCTGACGTCTTTCATTTGGATCAGTTCTTGATGATTTGGCTGGTTTTGAAGAATATTTTGTTAAATTTGGAAAAATTGAAGGAACTGCTGTTTTGACCAACTTTGGTGCTCGTAACAAATTTTTTCCAATTGATCCATCTGGCAGAGGGAATGTATCATACCTGATGATATCTTTTTCAATAAAATGAATTGCACATACTGTAGAACGTTGAGATGTTGTCCAGTTTTTTCGAGGTATTGCTGTTATCCACTTACTTCGCAATTCTTCCCCTTTTGGGAATAAAAAAACTGAGACATGATCCTTTCCCAGCTTTTTTTCAGAGCTGTAATTTGACTTACATCCTGGCACACAACAATGAGAAGGCATATTTTATAAGGAATAATGAATAACTTACTTATTTCCAGGAGTAAATTGAAAAAAACAACACAAATTCCCTTGCAAATACACCAGCACTAGTACACTTCACTATAACCTCCAATTTAACACAATTTTGAATGCACTTGCCACACACTTTCAGTCTCGAGTCGATTCCTAGATTGTTGCTAATACTTTTAAAATTATTTGATCTCAATATTACACCAATTGATAATTGAAAACTTTGTAAAAACCTTCCGTAAACTCCTTGTTTACTTCCTACACAATACACTTTCAATGGCCGACAGGTGCAAGTTCGGTCGTTCGGACAATGTTGCCAGACTGCTTCTTCACGGCTTGTTAGTTGAAGACGGCGGTGGTTCAGGTAGAATACAATAATATTACACTAGTTTTGAATCTGTATGTAGTGAATTCAGAAAAAATCCATTGATGGGTAGAGAGTGGATGCGACAGTTGGGTATAGGTTACTAAAATTCAGAATTGGAAAAACTTTCAAACAAATTATTTCATGAAAGTATGGGGAAAATTACTGGCTTACAAGCAAGTTTGAAAGTTAAACCTAACCTGAAACTCAACCTAATTTCATCAAGGCACGAAAGGTACCTTTTGCATTGTTGCCAAAAGTAGAGAGAGAACTGGATTTCTTAGAAAAAGAAGGTGTCCTTGAAAAAGTCAACAGTTCAGAGTACGCAACGCCCATTGCACCTATTGTAAAAGCAAATGGAAATATCCGCATTTGTGGTGGCTTCAAATGCACATTAAATAAGTACCTCATTATCGATGAGTATCCCCTACCTACAATTGAGACTTTATTATCATCAATGGCAGGAGGAGATAAATTCTCAAAATTAGATTTGCAACAAACCTATTTACAAATGGAGGTTCGTCCAGAGGACCGAAAATATTTAACCTTGAGTACACCCAAGGGCCTTCATCAAAGTTCACGATTGATGTATGGAATTGCTAGTGCGCCAGCGATTTGGCAACGCGAAATTGAGAATATCCTAAAGGATATCCAGGAGTGTCAGTATTTCTGGACGACATCAAGATCACAGGGCAGAATGAAGATATACATTTCAATAGACTAGAATTAGTTTTGAGTAGATTAGCTTATCATAATATCAGGGTAAATTATGAAAAGTGTCAATGTTTTGAAAATCAAATCGAATATTGTGGATATATTGCGGACAAATTTGGAATTCATTAAACAAAACAGAAAATGGACGCAATTGATAATGCTAAAGTTCCTTCAAACAAAACCGAAGTAAGAGCGTTCGCAGGCCTGGTAAATTATTACGGTCGAATTTTACAGAATTTAAGTGGGACATTACACCCAATTTAACAACTTCTGAAAGACGGAGTATCCTTCATATGGAACACAAAGTGTCAAAAGGCGTTTATTGCGGTAAAAAAAGAAATTATGCCTGACAAGGTATTGACTCATTTTGATCCAAGTCTCCCTCTCATTTTGGCAACAGATGCGAGTCCATATGCGGTTGGAGCCGTTTTGTCTCATTCATATGAAAATGGAAATGAACGACCAATTCAATTTGCATCTCAAACCCTAACGAAAGTACAACATAAGTATGCACAAATTGACAAAGAAGCTTATGGAATCATATTTGGGATTAAAAAATTTTACTATTATTTGTTTGGTTGTCCATTCACGTTATTTGTCGATCATCAACCATTGGTCCAAATTTTTTCACCCTCAAAGAGTCTCCCTACGTTGACAACAACTAGGATGCAACATTATGCACTTTTTCTGCAGGGATTTAACTATAAAATCAAATATAAAAATACAAAATGTCACTCTAACGCTGATGCAATGTCAAGACTCCCTGTAATGATAAAAAGCAATTGTGATTACGATGTTTCTGATAAGGTAGAAATTTACCAAATTGAAACTTTGCCAATTACATTGAAAGAATTGGATTCTGAAACAGTGAAGGATCCAAGTTTCCGAGTTTTACTTGAGGCATTAAAGGAAGGCCATCAAGTAGATGCAAAATACAGGTTTAATATTCCTCAAATAGAATTTTCTCTGCAAAATAATTGCATTTTACGCCAACAGATGGCAGTCATTCCAAAGAGTTTAAGATACAAAATATTACAAGAGTTACATTCAGTCCATTTCGGTATTTCTAAAATGAAATCACTTGCTCGCGGATATTGTTGGTGGCCAGGAATATCAAAAGATATTGAAAACATTTGTAAAAATTGTAGCGATTGCAACAAAATCAAAAATAACCCTGAAAAGGTACCTGTACACCCCTGGGAACCACCAACAACACCATTTGAGAGAGTCCACATAGATTTCGCAGGACCATTCATGAACTCATACTATTTTATTTTAGTAGATTCGTATACACGGTGGCCCGAAATTCACCAAGTGAAGGATATGAGCTCTCATAGAAATATTTTTAGTTGTTTTGGAATTCCACGAAGTACCGGATAATGCGCAAACTTTTGTCGGATATGAATTTAAAAAGTTTTTGCAGAATAATGGAATTTTACATAAACTTAGTGCACCCTACCATCCTGCAACCAACGGGTTAGCTGAACGATACGTACAAACGTTTAAACAAGATCTATGAAAGGTAGTAGGGATGAAAAGGAGTGCAAACTTTTTAACTTTTTTTTACAATACAGGAAAACGCCACACTCGGTAACGGGAATAGGTCCTTTATATTTAATGTTAAGAAATTAGATCTAGGTTAGATTTATCGAAACCAACATTCAAATTTGATGTAGGTAGATATTAAACAAAACCCCGAGAAAGTGCGCGATATTCAAGTGGGAGAGAGAGTCGAAGTAAGGGACTACATTCACAATGAAAAATGGGAATTTGGTCGCGTAATGAAGGAGTTAGGCAAACTACATTATTATACAATTAATAGGAGAATGTTACCAAATATCTGCGAAAACACCACTACATCTGGAGATAACCAAAATATTAAATTTGTTGATAATTCAAAGTTGAATGTACCTGAGGAAAAAAAATCAATTTCATCAGATAGTTCAATCATAAATAATGAAGAAGATCCTGAAATACACTTACCTGATTTGCACGAAAATGAACCAAACTTACCATCCTTTGATGCTGCAGAGCAATCAGTACCTTGTTCAAGTGATGCTACTCAGGCCAGTGCTCGTAGATCCAAACGAGTTGTTAAACCTTCTGTAAGACTGAATTTGTGATTGTCCAATTTTGATTTGTGTAGTAAATTTATTAGATGTGGAATTCCTAGTTGGAGAAGAGATGTTATATACTTACGGTTATGAGTTTCATAATGTACGCCACTGATATATCATGCATGTCAATATGTCAAGTCTGTCATACATATGTCATAAGTCTTAAGTCAGGATATAATGCGAGTGCAATTATGACAGCCTTCTTCTTGATTGGTACTGCTATGAGCAACCAGATAAGTAGAGCTTTCCAATGTATAATCGGTATGTGAAATAAAAGTATGAAAGTATTATCAGTACTTCATTAATTACCAAACGTAGTTTGGGAAGGAAGATATTCCAGAAGAGCATAGGAGATACTGTCCTACAGATCTCCTAGGTAGTTCGGTAGCTGATTCAAAAGACCATTCAAGATCTGTTGGGCGACTATCTGCTAATAATCCTAGTCAGTCAAATATACTCTTGAGAGATACCCTAGCTAACTATTGAGTTCCCGAACATGGAGGTCTTTCTCATCAGTGGGATGTCCTCCATCAAGGAGGTGCACCTGAAAATTTTATTAATGAATGATAGCTATTATCATTTTATTGTAGGAAAATAATCCCAAATAAAACCAAAACAATTTTTACTCAGTGAGTTTTATTAAGGTACAAAAAAAAATGTATTCAACTAGGTATATGATTACTCTCACATGGAAATAAAAACTAAATGAAATCATATAAACCTTTCAAACATTGAAAACCCTATCTTATCAGGAACAATAAGCAAATTAATAATATCATCAGGTAGATACTTATCACTGAAGTAACATAAAATACTCATTATATATCACAAAAACTAAACACAATGTTCTAGAACAGAAAATAAAAATCATGTTAAGGGCAACAGAATCATTTTTCATTTTCTTTTGACAAGAGAAAATCACCAATAACATTGTAGATTTGTTTTTTGATAATAATTTTTTCACTTTTTGAAAATATAGACAAATCTGACACCAAACTCTTCACAAAATGTTCATCATTGTTAGGAGAATCAGAAGTTTTTTGTTTGGACATGTTTGTTTCTAAAACTTTTTGGAAGGTGTTGAAACATCCAGTCATTTTCTCAATCAACACTTCTGTTTTGGGTTTCTTCGAAGGCAGAGTGTGACGAGGTATTGCACTAGCATCTCTCTTCCTCTGTTGCACCACAACTGGACTTTTTTGTGCCATACTGTTCACACTACTCTGACTCTTAGATGAACATTGTTCCTGGTCAATCTATACATCTGGAAGAGGTTCAGAATCTTCAAAATTCTCTTTCTTTGTGTTCTCTTCTAGCTCAGTCATTTGCGAGAATGAATCCCATGCATTTTCTTTCACATTTTTCAATGTAATGTTGGAGAAAGATCTAGAAGTATATTTGAATTATGGACAATTCAACTTTTGCAATTTCATACATACTTCCTTGTTTGTGAATATGGGTCCAAGAAGCTCATTGATTTGAAATATGGCCACGTAATCTCACTGGCTCCTGAACCTGATGGAGTCAGTTTGACTTCTCTCCTTAGTCCTGTATATTTATTTCTCAATATTTTCCACCTGTGTTCACATGCTTCAGCTGTAAAAAAGTGGACTATTATGAAGAAAAATTGCTCTGATCTAGATTTGTGGACCTACGTGTTTCATCCAAGATGATGCCAATAGATTTCCAAGCGTTTTCCCTCATTCGGTTATTTTTGTATCTTGCATCAGACTTCACGAACAACTGCGGGAATGCTCCAACTCGTTCAATCAGTTGACCATCATCCATCTTTTCCAAAGATATTTTAACAAATAATCAAAAAGTTTGTAATTTTTTATGGTGAACTATGCTTGCTTGGGCTATGACTGCTCATGTGATTTTCAATTTTCATTATCTGTCATTCTTTTTCTGTCAATGCTCATCCATCACTGTCCATCACGCACAAATACAAAACTTTTCAGTTCTGTGCACACAAAACTATTTACATTTCAAATGTCATCTATCATTGGTCTCGCCAAACTCGTGATTCTATTGGTTGGTTCTTAATTACTATGTTATCTTATTCCTCTGTATAAACTACTCCCATTATTTCTTATTCATTGAATTATTTCATCTTATTCCTTATTTTATTTCAATTGCTGTATGAACCCGCTCTTACGATGAAGACAATCAACGGATAATTACAGTTTTTGTGCCGGAAGAGAAAAAAAAGCTGGCCAAAGAAGGTGAGGGTGAAAATAATTCGTTGTATAATATATCATAATTTATGATATATCAAGCAATGGTATGACATGATTAGCTCACTAATAAATACTACAAATACTTACTATTTTTTGTTTCAGATGATAGTTTTGCAAAAAGTATTCTAGAGAACTATATCGACATTTTTGATGATCCTGTGGGTGAAGTGAGTACAATGACTGAACAGGCATCTATGAATGAAGACAGTCGTGTTCCTGATAACACTGCTAGGTGTAGCAGCACAAATATTCAACAGTTTCACTTCAATAATGGACCATGGTCTGAAAATGAAACACTACTACTAATTTCTCTGTATGGTGAACATCAAGATGATTTTCAGCATGCGAAGAAGAAGAAAAATGTGTGGACCATAATTAAAGGATTAATGGCTGCACAAATGTTCAATGTGAGAACCAATTAATTCTCAAGATCAGATAGATGATTCAATATTCTTCTTTCAGAGAACAGCTGCAAAGATTGAACGAAAGTGAATAAATTTAGTCAGGACATATAGAACCATTAAAGATAACATAAGGCC